CTTAATAAACACTATTCATAGACTTGGAAAAGCGTGCCAAACCTTTATGCTTGTATAGCACATGTTTTTATTGAGATAAGATAGGAAAAGCATGTAAATGGTCTATATGCTGTTAAATATTAATCCCTGTATACTGTATACAGTTATATACTGGTAATATGTTGTATTCAGTCGTTTCAAATTTCTATTTTCAATTAAAACCTTTTGCTTTATTTATATATTAGTCAATCGTGTGATAAAAAAAATATTATATATGCCTCACCTACCTTAAATGATCGTGATTAGTAATTTAATATTAGTATATTTAATTAATACCCAATAATTATCAATTAGTTTTATTTGTATATTTACTTGATTTGTTAATATTCTATTATAAAAGATAACAAATTAAAAGTACATTTTTAGTGCAATCTATAACTTTAAATATTACATTGTATTTTAAGTTTAAATTAAGTTCAATATAATATTACAATTTAATACTCAAGTAATATGTGTCAAAAATTATGGTTTATACATGTTCATTGTGTGCCATACTATTAGTAGCCTATTTTCATAATTGATTAAATTGCCTGGATTAGTACAAATGGTGATTTAAAAAATATTTATCAATTTAAGATTATGTGCACTAAATCATATATTTTGCACTCAATTCTGTTTCAATTTATTTTCAAAGTAAAAGTCAAGTCTTTTCAATGACTTATTTGATGTCAGGATAAGAAATATCGAACATATAAAAACATCTTTTTAAAATAACTTATACAGTAATTATAAATAATATTAAATAAAAATAAATTAAATGTGACATTAAAATTGTAAATATAATATATTTAAATAATAGTATATTATAGTGATAATGTATCACTGATAAATAAGTAAAATAATTTAATTACTAAGGTATATTATTTCATCTGAATCAATATTTGAACACTATAACATTTGTTGCCAGCTCAATTTGTTTTGCTTTCTCAAATATAAATGATTTATTTGTATTGTGCCTGGTGCACAAATTATTGATTGATATCTTTTGGCGACATTTCTAATGAGTACAGTATTTTCGACTACTTTTAAACCTTTCGCAAGTATTTTGATAAATTTGACTTTTTTTAGCTTTTAATATTTATTTTAAAAATAATTAAACAGTTTTAGACACAAAATTAGTAAATCACAAATTATGTATTAATTGTTCAAAATGTTAATTAATACAGACAATTTAAATACTGTAGTATATAATTTTGTATATTGTTTATTGTATAATTTTGTATATAGCAAAACTCCACGACTTTTACTATTGAAGTTGTAATTATATATTTGTATAATCTTTACTCATTTATTCATTTATTTAAAAAATAATTAAAGAGTTTTAGAAACAAAATGAGTAAAGAATAGGTGACAATAAATAAAAATTATGTGTTCATTGCAATTGAATAAAGATCATTTATTTTAATAATTAATGTCTTTTCATTATAATTAAAACTAGTGATGTGTTTAATGTTTTAATCTAATCTACATTATTATCCACATCCGCAAAGTTTGAGTCCATGTTATACTTGAGTCCGCCATCAATGACCAGATTATGACCGGTTATGAACTCAGCATCACTTGAGGCCAGAAATACCACTCCTTTGGCTATATCTATGGGTTGACCTATCCTTCCGAGTGGTGTTAATCTCACTGTTTTATTGTACAATTTGTCCGGTATTTCAGATGACAATACCATTCCTGGACTAGAAATGTATAAAATTTAAGTACAAATGTTTTGCCACAACATAACACATACCTGAGTGTATTAACTCGTATACCCTGTGGACCCAACTCTATGGCCAACACATTGGATATCGTTGTCAGAGAAGTTTTGGCTAAATCGTAGGCTAACAGAGATTTTACCTAGTTATTTAAAGTTTTATTAAATGATAAAATAAATTAATTATTAGTAATTGTATTACTGGTCTCTCGGATAAAGTGCTCCCGATATTAACTACCGATCCCTTCGTCTTTTGCAAATACGGGACACTCAGTCGTATGAGTTGTAGGGATGCCTTCACGTCAACCCTCTCTGATTGGTCCAAAATATCCAAAAAGTCTTTTTCAGTTCCGTTGCCCTGTATTAAGACACCGGCGTTATTGACCAATACATCCAATCTATTGAATGTCTTAATTGTCTCATTGAATAGACGCTCAATATCTGTATCTTTGGTCAGATCCGCCACAACTCCTAATGGCTTTACAAATGATATTCAATTTATTGAATACAAAATATTTCATAGATTTGTCTTTTTATTATTACTTTTAACTTTTGTGGCGACACTTGCTGTACATCTTTAACCGCCTGTTGAACCTCTGCCTCTCGCCTACCGGTGACCACAACACTGGCACCCAATGCCGAGAATAGTTTGACAGTCTGTTCACCGATACGATTACTACTACCGGTGACTAAAACTACTTTTCCGGTAAAATTTCGTGAATCCCTTACGTCTTGATAGATATCATTATATTGAAATCCATTTGTGAACGCAATTAATGCCAACAAATATATGGCAAACATTTTTAACAAATATTCTATGAATTCCTAAAAGCAAGTACTTTCTAGACAATGGTTTAAAAATCAAGTAGTTTGTAATTTATTTATATACTACTTATATTTTATTATATATTATATTTTGTTTGCTAAATTATCATTAATATACCAAGGTGAGTAAGCCATCAACTCTAATATTAATCCATACTTGAATTCACTAAATGATATGTTACGCAAGTAACTATACAGTAATGTTTGGCACATTAAATCATGAAAATATATCTGTAAAACAATACGAACTGAGTCTCACAAAAAAATACAATCTTACTAGTTAGCTTTATTATTGCTTACAAGTATAGATAAGATTAAAGATTTTTTGACTGACTGATTTTAAAGACTCATTTCGTATTGCTTTCTCAGATATATTTAATTTGTAATTGCCAGCAACTAATTCCTTAGTTATTTTCAATATAATTAATGTTTTATCAATTCCTAATACAATTGAAACTTTCTAAATCAAATCCGTACTGTATTTACAGTGGATTGTGCTCTTTATCTCCAATAGTCCACACAAGTCATCAAGTAATTCATAATTTGTTTTATTAAATTCAAAATTATTACCAAGCAATAGACAAATAG